TGATTACTAACCTCTTTACGTATTACAAGTGGGTTGAAAAATTGCTAAATAAGGTTGGTTTGTTGTTTTTTGAATATAACCAATAAACTATTAAACCTATTGTAAAAATGTACACAACTTAAATTATAGATATTTTTAATATAATAAAAAACATATCTATACAATTTTTCATTCATCTATTATTTTATATGAAAAATTATAAAATATTGAATTTTCCATTTATTTATAATAAAAAAAATTAAAACTGAAATTTCTTTCTTATGATAATAAACAAAATGAAGGAGTGAAAAATCAAAAATATTAATTTTTTTTTCTTCGCTTATAACTACGGGTCACCCTATTAAGATTAGGGTATATTACACCTTAACCCTTATAATATGTATATGTTTAAAATACAAATTAAGTATACGTTTTTACAGCTGCATACTCATAAGTATAAAATTAACAGAAATTTAAAAGTATTTTACAAAAATTGATTAAAAGTTTGAAAATATTTCAAAAATTTTGGGTGAAGTAATACAATCACCAATGATTTAATTTCCTTCAAATACACACCAATTACAATAGCACCGATGTGAATAACAATTGTGCAATAACGGACGATCATTAAATTTCGAAAACTTCGAAAACTCAATTACTATTCAATCTAATTATGTTAAAAATATTTACATTTAATTTTTCTAATTTAATTTTAATTTAATTTTTTCATTGCAACTTTTAAAATTATAAATGCAATTTTCAATGTGTTTTAATTGTTCAATGCAATAAATTTAGTAAGATTTTAATATAATAACTTCACTGCCTGATATAATGTATCATGCTATAACTATAAGAGATACGCATCACTAATCTATGTATAATTTATGCTGCTAAAAGTTGCTAGCAATCAAGTCGACAACGAGTAACGACGAAACGACTACAAATAAGCGTAATTGTACAAGTACGATAAATCGACACGATATCTTTCGCAGCGGGTCGTTTTACACGCACTGTGATATTAAGGGTAAAAATAGTTTCTAATGATATACATCAGTATAATGAAATATACCGAATTTAAAGGCTTTGGATCAACGAGTACAGGTTGTACACTTCTATTCATGTTGTAAAATATTTATTTTACATATATGTTCAAAAATACATATTAAAACCGTATACTACACGTTAAGTCGAATTAAAACTATAAAAAATAAATAAGATTTTTACTATGAAACGATTTAAGTACACGTAATTATTGTAGATTCTGGGAAAATCGAGGAAAGGAATTGGTTTTAATACGGCATATGTGTACAGTGGCGCAACTAGGTGCAGTTTGGAGGATGTGACCCCCAAAATATGTAGTTAACTTAAAATTACCTTAAACCTAACTAACGCCCCTAACCTCACCAAACACCTTCCGAAATTAAATGTTTCTTTCAAATCTTTACCCCCCTCATCCCTCCCAGAAAATAAATTCCTGTTATTCAACTGTGTGTTTGTGTGAAGCTGAGTTTTTTCACATTCAGATAACAGTGTTAACACGATTTGGACTAGATACCATTATGAATCCTATCATCAACAGTCATAGCAAAACATATGCGTAGCTGGTGCATTCGGCCATTTTTTTTAATTTCTTGACTGTTTTCCAAACAATTCAGAAAAAATGACTAAAATCTCAAAATAAAAATAAATTACAATAATAGTAGAATTACGAAATGCCAAAGTCGATTTTTTTCTCGTTCTCGTTTTCTGCTCAATTTACATTTTTTTACAAAAAATCATCTGAGATATATAAAGCATTTATAAAAACATAGTATACAAGGTAATAATTACTAATAAACTTTAATAAATATTTGTATTACTTTAAAATATAAGCAATCAATACATTATAAAAACATGTAATTTTCTTCAAATGTTTTTGTTATACAATTGTATTAGACGATTTTAAATTTATTTTAATACAATATTACAATAGTACCTTTCTTGTTTTTATAGAGGCAAATTTATCAATGAAACTATCAAATTTAATTGTTTTAAATATATTTTTTTCATATTTCGAGAAAAATATTACATGAGTAGTGTTGAAATTTGCGACCCCCTTAGAATTGCACCCCTGGCCCATGCCCTCTTACCCTACACTGAATACGGCCCTAGCCTTAGATCGACGTTTGAAAACAGATCTTATTATCACTGGCAAAACTGTTTTTCAAAGCTAGTTTTTCTGGCATTGCTGGAATATGTTTATATATGAGAATATATTTCCAACTTGATCCAGGTGCTCTTAATTTTTTAGTCCTGTTTCTGTACCTTGGATGATATTATTTTCCGAATATACTTCAATATTTTCAATTTGTCTTTCTGTGATTTCCGCAGAAGCAAAATCATGATATGAAAAAACATAAGGATTAAAGAGTTCTACTCCACAAATACTTTAACTTTTTATGAAATTTACTACTGAAGCAACTTGATTATATACTTCGTTAAATATTTTTCCAATATCTCGATATTCATAGTACGTCCCGGATTATTTACCATAAATGTATCATATATTTGACTGTAATACATTTTTAGAGAGCCAAAGACCGCAATATCTAGTCTTAGTAACCTATAGTTGGTAGGTATAAGGAGGAAATCCAAGCATCGTAACCTAACCAACCTAACTTAACCAACTTTTATTTATTGAATTCCATAAGTCAATCAATAGAAGTGACTTCTGGTTTTTTAACACGAATGTTATAGTTAAACATAAATATACTGTATTGAATAATGTACTGAAAAATCTGAATAAATAATCAATTCGATTTCAGTTTGATTCATGGTAAAATTCTAATAAATTACGTCTTACGCTCAAATTGACACGTACAGTGGCATATTTTCAATTTTTTCTGGGGGGGGAGGTCCACAGTTTATACATAATTAATATAAACTATATATTATATTGTAATAATTACGTTCTTATGCAGTTTTTGGAGGAAGTTGAACTAAATATATAATGTAATAATAGTATAGTCTTATGTAATATTATATATATGTACCTATATATTGTATTTAGCATTATATATTATAAAGTATTGTTATAAAATAAATTCCCATTGTCTCGATTTTTTGGCCAACTCCTCTATCACTTCATCAACAGTAATTTCAACTTCCCTGTGAAAGTTTAACATACCCAATTCTGCAAATATGTAAAAATTGTTGTTAATTTTTTATTTTTGGAGAGGTTCTGGGGGTCCAGTACCCCTGGACCCCCCTCCCGTAAATACGCCACTGGACACGTAAGAAATAAATATAAAATAATGTAAAAGATACTTAGAACTATACATGAGTACTGTGTGTTGAATTATTGTATCGCAACGAGATTACATAATGCGAAGTTTCGATATCCGCAGCAGCCATTACATAGTGAAACAATACGAACTATACATAAGCTAAATCGCAGTCGACCACTGTGATTCATTCGTTTCCAGACGCCGAACAAGATAATAGTGAAATGTAAACGTTACTTAGGTATGTACATCAAGACAAGTAATCAGCGTGTCTCTGACATCATCTAATTTGGAATCCGACCAAACTGTTGTGTACACATTCGTTCGACGATATCTATATCCAATTAATCACATAATACGTATAAAACTAGTGTGTGTAAGACTTGACAGTTTTGTCGGTTCGTGTTAATGATTTTATTTAGCAAACTAAAGAGACAAGTAACCGTTGTTTTGTACTTTTATATAATTTATTGACATTTTGTCAGTAACATTCGTGGCGTTTAAGTTGCGCAAGTCTGATTATTTATTATTCATTATTGAATAAAAGTATATAAAAATTTTGCAAGCAAAAATACTGTTAAATCCAACTACCCGAGGTAAACTGATTTTTTTCGAAATATTTAAATTTTAAAGGTAATTGGAAACTGTTATACAAATAAAAATTATTCTGGTGATTTTTTTTTTATTACTTAATTACTTAGGGGTAAAATTTTTCTTCGGGGTCACTGGTCACAGGTAGTATTTTAAGTGCATGTAAGGGCGCCCCTTATTTTTACAAAACTATGGCGCCCGGGGGTTATTTCCCCCTTTGTCCCCTCCCTTAACACGGCCCTGATAAAAGGGTTAAAAATTGTTTAAAATTTAAATATATATTTATTATTCATACAAATCATGCTGTTGTTTCCTGATCATACATAATATTGATAAATGATAAATATCAATACATTCTATTAAACTCGTATTAATTTCACAAATAAGCATAAAACCGATGAATGTTTCATGAATTACATTTAAACTCGAGGTATACTCGAAGTAGGTACTTTAATATTATGAAATACAATACAAATACATAAACACTACTACTTACTTACTACTTACGTAGTTCAAGTTTTCAATTTATTCATGCTCATTGCTGTAATTATATTGTAAACTATTAAAGTGTTAAAAATTTTTAGACAAAAATAACAGTTTTCTTTTCAACTCGATGCTATTCCTTGTTCTTGACTATTAAAAAAATAACTTGTAAAATTGTTGTGCTGAAAAAATATTTACTATATTTGCAAAATTCGAAAAATAACTATTTTTAATTTTCATTCCGAGATAAATACAATTTACAATCCGTTAAATACGTAGGTTTAAGAAAATTATTCGAAATAGATGTATCCTATATAAACATTTTCATAGTATTTATTTAAAGAAAAGCAAATACACATAGTAAAACAGACGTACGTCGGCTGCACATTGTCTGGAATAGGTCCTACCGCCTTAATGACGTGAAAGACATATGGCGATTTACGGTCTTTTGTTGGATTTAGCAATTGCACATTTTATTAGCGGAGCTCATTTCACGCAAAAACCACCGCAGTTTCTTGATTGATCAGCCTAGAGCATGAAAGCCGCAGATGTGTCGATATGACGATAATAAATAACATAAATGACTTAAATATAAAATTGTTGCATTTTTTTACTCAACTGATTCATATTACTTAACTATTTAATATAAATCATAAATAAATAAAATATTTATCATATTTTCAGGATGATTACTTTTGGACAACATTTCGCCATTTCCTTAGCCACTCAACAACACAAGATTAAAAATCAACCAGAACAAGATCACCAAAATCAACAAGATACCTCACCAGGCGGAGTAAACATTCTCTTGGGAGGGTAATAACAAAGAATAATTATTTCATAATACCATATGAATCTAGCATATAGAATATGACTATTCTATAATCAATGATATTAGGTTCTATAATTTTATTCTAAGTGATTAACAGTGATTTTAATTGTAAATAGAAAAAAAGCATTTTAATAATAGTAATTAAATCAAACATAATATTAATATTCATTTTTTTTTTTTTAGGGTAATGATGAGTAGTATGATATTATTTATTTTGTGGATGTGTTATTGTTGCCGATGGAAAGATAATAAATTTGAGGCAACATCATCATGCGCTGACCAACCACAACCATTTTGGATTGATGTTAATTCAAATGCTTACTATGAAGCACTACAATGGTCTTTACATCAAGTAATAATCACTCATTAATGTAAAGATAAAACAGATGAAAAACAATTTTGTTAAATTAATTAGAAAATCAAAGCCAAAACTTTCAGAATCTTATATAATATTGTTATAAATTTATCAATTTGATCTGATATCATAAAAACAATAATTTAGTGGCCATTTTCAGAACTCAACCAAAACTCGCTTCAATTGATACATACACTATAAAAATGATCAATCAACTATCATAGTCAAATGCGCTAGACAAATCTAAACACAAACAACAATCACATACTTAAAACTATTTCAATTAATATAACTTAATCGTTTATGCTGTGTGTAAAAATTTAAAATACAATTTTTTTTAGGAATGTTGTGAAATTCCTGAAACACATTGGCCACTAGAAACTACACAGGAAACACCACCAAGATATGAAACAGTAATTACACCTCCACCTGAGTATGAAGATGTAATAAGGGAAAATTACAAAAAGAAAAAAACTATACTAAACATAACAGAAAATAATAGAATGCATACCATTTGACCACAATTGTTTTATTTATTATTACTTATGCAAACATTAAAATCATAACACTAGGAATTACAGGGAAGTAGAAAATCGTAACAGATTTGTTCATGTTTTGTACAATTTAATTTATTTTTACAAACAAAATAAATAATAATAATAAAATCATAAAAATATTAAATGAAATTTGGTGTTTAAATATAAAAATTATCTATAAACAAATTATTTTATTTCAAAGTATCATTTGAAGAAATAAAATGCTGTGTATTATATATAATATATAACATTAGTCAAGCATTAGGCGTGCTTCTTTACCATTGATCATACGTTTCATACCATGTTTTAGAGCAAATTCTCGCTTGATGTATGCAAACAGTAAATCAGTAATCAGAAATATCTATAATAACAACAAAAATTTAATTTTGTATTAAACTTTAAAATATAATTTTATAATTAAACATTTAGTCTGTCGATCTGAATATCAATCATTAATATTAAATAAATATATTCATTTAGAATTTAATGAGTAGAATTATTTATTATACTACATTTTGTAGTGATAATCATAAAAATATCACAATATTATGGAATTATATTAACAGTTATTAAGTTAACCAGGAAACCATCAGGTGAGTTATAGTTGTTGTGTATTATATAAATAATAAATTAAGTGTATGTAAACCAATTATTGTAAAAGAATATTTTTATAATATAATATAGTATAATAATGAAAATAGAGTACTATTATTGTTAATTTTATGGTTATCATAATTTAATTTTCATTTTGACATAAATAAAAATAAAAATACACAAAAGTCTTCATATTATAAAACTTATTTACAAGTATTCAGTACCATTAATATTACCATAAGGTTCAAATCTATAAATCAAATAATAAAGCTAACTTTTAAATATCATTTGAACCAAATAGTATGATTTCATAATCACTTGCCAATCAAATAAATAATAAAATTAAAAAATGTCTTAAAAGAATAGTCAATAGACTGTTAATACAGAATATTAATTGGTAATTTATTATTACTGTATTAAATTATCCAACACTAGTAATAAAAAAAATTCTTCACTTCTAAAAAAATTTAAATTTCCTTCAAAAGCCTTTAATAATACAGTAAAACCACGGTATTACGGAAAAAATGTTTGGTACCATTTCAAATTACATATAATTAACTAATCCCATCAAGCAGGAAACCAAGGAAAAATGTAATGGTCCCAAGCGATTCCATCTTATCAAGGTTTACTGTAAAAAAATATAAATATAAAGATTAAAATATTTACTTGAGTTGTTGCAAAAGCAAGGGTTACTCCAAAATAAAAATTTGCATTTGCTGAACGAGAATAAATCCATAAATGCCACACAGTTGGGGCAAAAACAGTACAGCCAACAAAAAAGCATGATACAATGAATGCTTGTTGCATAACTATAATCAATTATAAACAAAATAAATATATAGTAATTCTTGTAAATTTAAATTGAATTTATTTTCAGCATACAATAAAATAGGTGTCTATGAATTGGAAGTAGACTAAGATAAAAACCAACATCTCCAATGCTTGGATAGGACTTAAAAACTGCTGTTAATGCCAATAAGCTGGTGGCTAATAATAATGGGTCATGACGAAGACGTATACTTAATGGTACCACATATAAAATTGAGGCATTTAATTGAAAAGCACAGACAAATAATGCACGAAAATGTTCAAACATCTCAGTGAAAAAATACCAAAACAAACCAATGTTTGGTTTTAAATCGCGTACATTCAATCTATAAAATATAACAAAATAAAAAAGTAAAGATTAAAAAATTAAAGATTAATTTATATTTCATACTTACATAAAACCATATACAGAGTCTAGGAATGTCCATTCGTTCATAATAGTATAGCAAATATATAAGAAAGTGCAACTAATAGCCACACAAGTTAAGAACGTAATTAAAAATGAACCAGTCTTTTTCTTGGAGTCAGTCGATGCACAACTTATCATTAATGGTGCTACTAAACCAAAAGTATAGAAAGTTGGAAGTGATGCTAATACTAAGCTTAAACAACCTAATAGTCTTTGGCCTAAAATAAAAAATAAATTTGGATAATTAGTGAAAGACTATTTAATGTAAACTTTTCAGTTAAAATATTCTCATTTATAAATATAACAGAATAAGCCAATCTAATTTTACTCTTTTTTATTTCTAAGGAACCTAAATCACCATGCAAATTATACAAGATTTTCCCTAAAATTGCATGAAACATTGTCACAAATACTCAACATATATCATACATCCAGTAATGTACAACCAGGAAAAGCCCTCAACACAACACCATTAATATTTTTCATTTTTTAAACTAGACTTAACTAAAAAAACTGTGATTAAGCCTATAAATATTATATTTAACATGTAGAATTGTAATTATTCACTAAGAATATATAACATGAATAAAAAAAAAAAAATTTATTTATTTTATCTAAATAAAAAAATAATACATACGTTTTACCATAGCATACAAACATAATGCTAAAAATAAATTGTTGAATACTGTAGTTGTTCTTGCAATACAACTAAACACAGTATAGGGGTTAAGCATATAAACTGAACAAACATAAACTGGATTTATGACAGAAAAGTCATCCGGTATCAATAATTTGTTGAACTCTTTATTATATATATTTTTGGTTTTTGTTTGTTGTATAATCTACAATAACAAAATAACAAAGAAAAATTTTAATTATTTAAGTAAGCTATATTCCTCATTTTACATACTAGGTTTTTGGTATAAATCTTGGATGTAGAATACAACACAAAAGCAGTGAGGATATCACAACCAATAAATACTAAGGTTACATAAAAATCAGAAAGAATTGATGTCAAGTAACTGAAAAATACAAGAGCCAGTGGAGTCTCATGGAATAGATCTCCTTCATAGGGATTTATATTCTCATTGTATAATGATACTCCTTCTATAACTGAAAAATAAATAAACAGAACGTTAAATAATTTTAAATTACAAAAATAACTATTATTATTACATTACAATTCAATACAAAAATTACATAAACAATAAATCAAAAATTAAAATAACAAAATTAAGACCATGAGCACAGGTAACATTATATTCAAACCTCTTTTCCAGGAGTTTAATGGCGTAGATACTTCAACCCTATCTGCAATAGAAGAGCCAAAATCACTAGAGCTCAAATAGATCCTGACGAGGATACCGATGAAACAGACAAAAAAAAGTAATTTGTCCATAAATAAATATTCAATGATACTTTTGGGACTTAACGCTATGAACATCGGATGGATTTAAATTTGATCGCGTACGTGAGGCAGTACATATTTTGTAATCGGAAGTAATCGACGAAAACAATAATGAAAATTCGGTTTCCTAGTAGGGGACGGTTGACCACTAACGAGATGAAATTGTAATATACTCAAACATTAGAATAATAATAAAAATGCTGAATTATTATTGTCGGTGTATAAACACGATTAGATAAGAATGCCGTCGAAGTAGATAAAAAAACGCATTGAATGATAACTGATGATATGGTTCATTTTTTCCTCCATGAATGCCCAATGTGTTTTCCCGGGTCACGATGTAACTATGTATATCGACGGACAGTGGTGTCAGTGTGTGGTAAAGGTATTTTTAAGAAATCATGGTCTATCAATTTTTGTCAATCGATGTATGAGTGGTTCATGCGAATCTGTAACACAAACATAATAGTAACTATGCAATATACACGCAACATACATGAACTATAATTATAAATGCTAATTACTCAGGTAGGTACATACATTCAAATTAGATGTGGGATACTTGATCAGAAGGTGCAATAATTCTTTAAAATTCTCCTAACTGGCTCTAGTTATGGGTTTCTCAAATTTTGTTGGCCTTATAGGTATAGAAAGTTCGTCCCCCACTGACCACAGACACAGGCGCGAATTCAGGATTTCAATATGGGGGGGGGCGAATAGACAAAAATAGATTTAATACACATGACATATACTTTTCAGTTTTACACATTTTATTTTCATTAAACATTTTAAAATTTATAATTTTATAATAATACATTTTATTAAGAAGGTATTTATTATTATTATTTAGTGTTTATTGTGTATACAATTATATTTAAGTTAAAGAATAAATTCTAAACGATGGGTTCCTTGATTGGCAAATCTTTCAATAATGTTGTCAACGTTTATTTCTATATCTGCATGAATATGTAGTAATTCAAGCCCATTCAATCTATCTTCAACCATAGTGGACCTTAACCAAGTTTTAAGTCGTCGTAATGTGGAAAAACTTTCAGCACTAGAAACACTGACAGGTAAGGTAGCATATATTTTTAAAAGAAGGTTAATAGCTGGATAGATGTCTTGTTATGTTATGATCGGTTTTACTACCAATTGATTTAATGGTGTTTGTTTTTTGCAGCCACCTTTTGTCGCAAATAAAAAACAATATTTACAAAAATAACCCTTTAACTTGTCAGATAACACTAGCCATTCAAATATTCAAATATAACCATACCTCAGCAAGGGTGCCCATATGGGGGGGGGGGGGGCAAGGGAGTGACATTTTCCACCCTATGTTTTTAGTGTCCAATTTATATTATTAGTTAAATAAAAATTTCAATAAATTACTTTTATAGTAAATTAGTTTAATAATTTTTATTTTATAGTCTTCCAGTTTGATATATATAATGTAATAGTATAATGTAAAATTGTAAATCCCTTCCTATATCGTGGGTCATTCCTATTTATGAATAGATTGATAAATTAAAATGTTGTCCCCCCCCCCTTGAGAATTTTCCTATGGGCGCCCTTGTACTTGAAATTTTTTTTTTTAGGTAGGTAGGTACTAAGTACTAAGTTAAAAATGGCTAATAACTCTTTTCTTTGGAAAATCGAAATTTTTTTTATCAATTTTATCAAATTACAAAAATTTAATTGCCGGGACTGGCGTTCATTGATAATCAGATTGTACATCAGTTTTTCTAATAAATTTTATTTGTGCTTACTAATGTTTTGTACAACTATTTTTTTTTAAGGTGGAGTTTTATAAGGTGATCAAAAAAAATAAAAGCCACACCGGAAACAGGAATCTGCGCACGCCTATGATGCCAAAATACATCGCTCGAGTCTTAAGGTGCGTCCACACTATGCTGATATATGCCATCTTGATGTATTGCCACTTGGGTTTCTTTCATCCGGACTTACACTTGTCGAATTTGGCCTAGCAAGCCAGTTGGCAACACTGCCAAATGGCACGTGCTAACATAAATTCCACATCACTCTTGGCAATGGCATTTGTCAAAGCCTCATGGTATAGTGTGGATGCACATTTAGTCTACTTCAAAGAAAGTCAATGAGAAAAAATAGTGTTTACGTGCTAACGGGTCACACGTGGTTCTAATTGTGATTTTACTGTCGTTAAAACCACTACCTACTTTTTAATCGAAAAGGTGTTGGAAACCACTTCTTCTTCTTTAGTTTCGGCCCTTAAGACCATCCTGAAAACGATAAACATTGCCACCTTTCCCTGTCCTCCGCTACTTCTCTCCATTTGACACCAAGCTCTATTTTTTCCACTTCTCTTTTCACACCATCTTCCCATCTCAACCTAGGTCTACCTAGTGGTCTTTTCCCTATAGGGTCTTCTTCGATCACTCGTTTTACTAAAGTACCCTGTTTGCGCTAAGCATGTCCTGCCCAACTTAGTTTTCGTTTGGCAATCTCCCTAACTATACTCGGCCTCTGAAAAAGTCTTTGGAGTTTCACATTATGAAGTTTTCTCCATTCATTAGATTGTCTATCGAATATGGGGCCGAAAATTTTCCGTAGAACTTTTCTTTCGAATATCATTAATCTTGATTCTTCTGTTTTTCTCAACGCCCATGTTTCCGAGCCGTATAGAACAATTGGTCTTAGTAGAGTCATGTACGTTTTGATTTTTAAGTTTTTGGATAAGACCTTCGATTTTAAAACTTTTTCAAGTCCATAATATCCTCTATTCGCTAGTTGTATCCTTGTTGACACCTCTGTCTTGATGTTGTTATCCTTCGTTATCATCGACCCCAGATACTTAAATTGTGACACTCTTTTGAACTCGAGCTCTTCAATTTTGATATATTGTTCTAGACCGCTATTTCTATTTCTTCGGCTAGCCACAAGGTACTCTGTTTTTTCCTCATTGACGGTTAGGCCCACTTTTTTTGTCGTATTTATTAGTTTGTTTCCTAATCTCTTTATCATATCTATGTCTTCACCAAGGAGAGCGATATCATCCGCATATGCTAGCATTCCAATTGTGATTTGTCCTAATATAACTCCCTCTGAAATGTTCATCTCACGTATTACCCTCTCCAGTACTAAATTAAACAGCACTGGAGACAGAGCATCCCCTTGCCGAAGTTCTGTCGTTACTCTTGTAGGTTGTGATGTTACGTGACCTATCTTCACCTGTATATCAGTATGATTGAGACTGGCTCCAATGAAATTAATAATTTTCTTGGGGAATTTGAAATCTTTGAGAATGTTTAAAAGACTTTCTCTATGGATAGAGTCGTATGCCTTTCTAAAATCCACAAATAATACGTGTACATCCTTGTCGAATTCTAAGCGTTTTTGGATAATTTGTCTTAGAATGAAAATTTGGTCAGTTGTGAATCTATTGGGCCTAAACCCACTTTGATAGTCACCTATTATATTTTCAGCTTTGTAGACTACACTGTCTAGTAAACAATATGTTAAGACTTTATATGTCGTATCTAATAAAGCAATACCTCTGTAATTACTTCATTTTTACGGGTCTCCTTTTTTATAAATAGGACAAATTAAAGATGCACCCCAGTCTTTCGGGAGATGTTCCTCAGACCATATATTTTCGATGATATCATGTATTCTATTTATTGCTACCTCATCCAAATTTTTTAGAATTTCTCCCTGAATTCCATCTTCTCCTGGTGTTTTATTGTTTTTTAGTCTATTTAATTGATTTACTATTTCTATTCTACTAGGAGGTGGGCATTCAATGTCGTTAAGGTCTGATGTTATCCACGTAAATGTTTCATATGGGTTCTCACAGTTAAGCAGTGGTCAAAATACTTTCTCCATTTTTCTAGAATTTTGTCTTGTTCCATAATTATAGAGCCATCGTCATTTTTTAAGAATCTTTCATGTTTTTTGTGCCCACCCCTAATTGAATTAATCTTCTGATACAGTTCACGAGTTTTGTTAACTCTGTGGTTGGTCTCGGCTTCTCACAATATATCTTTCATAAATTTACGTTTTTCAAATCTAAATATATTATTTGCCTCTTTTTGGCGTTCTTTATAAGTAGATTCCTTCTCTCTATTGGAGGGGTCATTGATCCATTGTAATCTAGCTTCTTTCCTTCTGTTAAGTGCCTCCTCACAAGAAGCGAACCAAGATTTCTTCACATTCTTTTGTTGGAAACCATAGATCGACAAAATCGATTTTTGGAACATCGAACTACATTGAAAAGTTTTATCTACTACCAAGGCCAGGAGTAAAAGTTGTTAATAAAGAAATTCAATTCGAGTTTAAAGAAATTTTATATTTGTATGCGGACATATTAAATGACTGTTCTGATTCTCTTGTAATTGATCAAATGAGTTTTAGAGAATTAAACTTATGGTATCATAATTGTGATTACCAAGAATCAGTCAAACATAATAAAATATCTGTAATTGATGAATATTTTCAATGGGATTTTCCAGTGTAATTTAAAAACTATTTTAATTACATTGCCAGTAACAACTGCTGCAGGAGAAAGGTCGTTTTCTACACTTAGAAGGCTAAAAACTTATTTACGTAACACCAAAGGACAGCAAAGACTTAATGGAATGACTACTTTAAACATACCTACATACAGAGTCCAAAGAAATAATTCAAACTAATTTCGATTTAACGAAATTCCGATAATGTCATTCGAAAAAGTAATTTCTAAAGAAGATTTGAGCATTGGTTTGAAATCGATAACAATATTTATATTTATTTTGTTATTTTTACAAAAACATGCTTCAGTCGTGTGGCGAATTCCGTAAAGGGAGGAATAGAAGAACAACGTGTGCGCGTAAAATTTTGTTTTAAATTAGGAAAAAGTTCAAGTGAAACTTTTGAACTTTTGCAGCAAGCTTTTGGAGATGATGTTCTGTCTCGGACAACATGTTTTGAGTGGTTTAATGGTCTTTCGGTTTTGTTTTTGTTCATCGGTTAAGAGGCGAGGAACAAATTTGGCTGCGATTCGGCTCATTCCCAATTCTTTTGTTAATATTTCTTGGCATGAATCATAAGGTATACCGACGTCTTCTATTACTTCTCTAATAGTTAATCGACGATTATTTCGAATAATTTCTCGAACACGAGCAACAGTTTTATTTGTTTTACTGGTCGATGGTCTACCGGGTCGTTCATTATCCTTGACGGATGTTCTACCTTCCTTAAACCGTTTAAATCACTCAAGAACACTCAGAACATCATCTCCAAAAGCTTACTGCAAAAGTTCAAAAGTTTCACTCGAACTTTTTCCTAATTTAAAACAAAATTTTACGCGCACACGTTGTTCTTCTATTCCTTCCATTACGGAATTCGCCACACGACTGAAGCATGTTTTTGTAAAAATAACATAAAATAAATATAAATATTGTTATCGATTTCAAACCAATGCTCAAATCCTCTTTAGAAATTACTTTTTCGAATGACATTATCGGAATTTCGTTATCTGAACTGATATATATATTATTAACGCAGTCCGGGTATTTTTTGATCACACCTCGTAGATGTAGTTAAACAAGATTGCGGAACTATCAACGATGGTAATATGGCAACGAAATTTTTTTGAAAATCTGAGTTTAACAACAGAACTTACTGGGCTAAATGAAACACTTATAAGGCAATTTTTAGTCATTTTTTAAATTATAACTTCTGGAAACAAGTAAATTATAAATAATTCGTAGTAAATTATTTAGTAGTATATTAGACAAACAGCAGACAATTAAGTAAAATTGTATGAATGGAACTACAGCATCGGTTCATAAATTATTAATCCACGAAGAACATATTATAAAACATTATGCATTTGTTCCAATTAGTCAACTTTCCGAGGAAGTCAGAAGGCAACAAATAAAAATTTCAAGAAGTATCGAGAACATTACACAAGAAAATGTTCAAGAAACGCAAATAACGAAGATTTAATTCATAATCTTTTTATCACATCAGATCCAGATATATCCAGTATTCGACCTTATTATGAACGTAGGAAAAAGAAGGAACTATTTGCTGAATCTGTTCAATTACTTTTGAGTGAAAATAAGATTGACCAGAAAAATGAACAGGAGGAAGACAATGGAAATAAAGAATAAACAAGTTCGATCGAACTTTGAGTAGGTATGTAAGGTAAGTCGACTTACATGTTGTTTACATCAAGTCATATTTTGTCAATAATTTAATAATTTCTAAAAGTTGTCTATTATTATGTTCATAGAGCTTATTTGATGACCTCTAAAATCATAAGCGCAACTGGGGGGGGGGTTAGCCCCCCCCAAAATAAATTATTCAATTGTTTTGTATAATATTAATAAACCTTTTAAAATTCAACTGTAATTCTTATTGTTTTTAGAAAAAAATTAATAAATTAAATTTTTTCCAAATTGTAAAATTATTTTATATTGCCTATGATAAAATATGATAAATACTAAACATCATTTGCCTTGTTTAAAACGATGTTTATCGATACATTGGTACGATTATTAATTGTTATACATAACATTTTACAGTATATTTTTCAGTATGCACTGAACATATAATATACAAACATTATATTATTACTGTGGATAAACACATATTTACGTTCCACTATAAACCAAGATCGGTTTAGTAATCTATCAACACTTCATATTAAAAAAGATATTGAAATTAAAATCGATGAAATATTAAAACTATTTATTTACAAAAATAAAAGAAAATTGAAACATGAGTAAATATTTGTTTTTTTTTTTTTTTTGTATGTCTTATACTTTTAAGTGAATATATATGGGGGTGTGGGGGCAACGCCCCCACGTGTTACATTTCATGTAATATCAGGTGGGGCTACAGCCCCTCTCCCACAAAATTTTAGCTCTAGTTGCGCCACTGTCTGAAATGCTAAACTTAGTTGTCCAAAAATCTTGACAACTTATTTTATTATCCATATCTATGATTAGAATGTCCTACCTAATTCAGTTACCTTAAGTACCTATTTTTTCTAGAGCGTTATACTTTTGCAAAATATTTATACATTTTAAGCATATAATTATATTTATATACCTATGTAAATATTATATTATTTTATTTCTATTTTATTTTTTACTTCTTTATGAATTACTTATTAGTTTTCAGGTAAAGTAATTAATTCTTTATTATCTATTTATTATTAAATTGTTTTTTACAATTTATGTTGATATACGAAAAAAAATTATGAGCATAATTTTACTTGGTCACATAAAATTTTAAAATAGCCTTTCTCGCCTGAAAAAAAACCGAAATAGCGCTCCATGTAATGTATAGGTACTAATATTACTTTAAATTTTCGTTAATGCTTTTAAAAATATTAAAAAAGGAACATGATATATCGATCAACCATACGAACTATAATTATTATTTAATTCGTGTGTAACGAGAATAATTGCTCAATATTCAATACGATTTTTATGTAAAATTAACTGCTATTTCGAATAACGAAGCTTTGATAAGATTTCAGATTATATGATAAGCAAAATTATAGATGATAACAGTTCATTATATTAATTTGAAAATGCTAAATTTTTGTTTTTGTAACTGCATAATATTTTATACTCGATATACTTCTCTTACATTAATATCTTATAAATATAATTTAAACAATCAATCATTCGATCCGTTTCAATGTCCACTAATTCGTTTCTTTGTTTGAATAATTGTTTGTATTTTCTTGTAGTAAATTAAAGTAATAATTTTAATACTTGGAAAATGGGGAATCAATTGGTGGGCATAGCTCCCTCTGAAATATTTCCAGTCGAACATTATCTTACTGATCATTCACAGTTACAATTTGATGCCAGGTGATTTTTACTAGAAACTCATTAATGTGTTAAATCTTATTATATTTGAAATTTATTTTAATTTTTTAGTTTGGGAAGTACTCGATTTTTTAAAGTAGCTCGTGCCAAGTCACAAGAAGGAATGATTGTTGTAAAAGTGTTTGCTCTACATGATCCAATGTTACCATTAATAAAACATCGAGTGCGTGTTGAAGAAATCAAATCAAAACTACAGTCTGCTGTCAATTGTTTATGTTTTCAAAAAGTCATTGTATGAAAACTAAATTTGGTTGTTTAATTTGGTGATTTAATTGAACTTATTTTTATTCAGATAACTGATAAAGCGGTTTTCTTGATGCGTGAATATGTGAAATATAGTTTGTACGATCGAATTAGCACCAGACCTTTCTTGACAATGATTGAGAAAAAATTTATTGCATTTCAAATATTATTTGCTTTACGACAATGTCATACATTAGGTGTAAGTGTCTGCTATTTTACTAATCAATGAAAGTTTTAATTTAAATTTGTAACTATAGGTATGTCATGGGGATATAAAATTGGAAAATATCATGATTACATCTTGGAATTGGGTATTACTTACAGATATAGCATCTTATAAACCTACATATCTACCTGATGATAATCCAGCTGATTATTCATTTTTTTTTGATACTTCTCGTAGAAGATTATGTTATTTAGCACCAGAACGGTAAAAACTATTTTTGTATATACATTTATTTATTTAAAAGAAAAAAATATATTTTTTTTAGTTTTGTCAAAACATCTGCAGAACTAAGTAATCAATTATTACCATCTGAAGATCATGTTAAAAAAGGAGAATTGACTCCAGCTATGGACATTTTTTCTGCTGGGTAAATAAATAATTCATTTCTACAAAAAATGAGGAAATTATTTAAATTATACCAAGGCATTATTTTTTTATTTTCATAGTTGTGCATTAGCAGAAATGTTCACTGATGGTCATCCACCTTTTGATCTGTCACAGTTATTGGCTTATAGAAATGGAGAATATGACCCAAGTCCTCTAATTGATACCATTGATGATGAAGGAGTTAGAGTATGTATCAAATAATTAGTCAAAAATATTTTTAAATGATTTATTACATTTTAGGATCTTATTAAATCTATGATAAAATTAAACCCAGCACATCGTTGTTCAGCTGAGTTGTATTTGGATGAAGAGAAAAATAAAATATTTCCAGATTATTTTTATTCTTTTCTCCAACCATATTTGCAAATGTTTTCGGCTACAAATCCTATAATTTCACCTGATGAAAAAATCGATAGGTGAGCAAAAATTGAAATATATGTTTGGTTAATAATGTAATTAATTTAAAATATATTGCTATTCATCCTTTTAGATTGAAAAGTGATATCAACGGTATTATTAATATGTTTCTCCCATCTAATGATTCAGGAGAATGTACCGATGGTTTAGTTTTGATTGTTCAACTAGTCACATCTTGCATCAGGTATCTATTATTATATGTATAGTTGGTCCTTTAAAAAGAAACAATACTAAATACAAAGTAGCTCTTAAATTTTTAACATACATTTTTGTTTCTTCAATAGTTATCCATTAATTTTTCAGAGGTTTGCATTTGTCTACTACAAAAATACAAGCATTAGACGTTTTACTTGAATTATCAGTGTATTGTTCTACAGAAACAGTTTTAGATAGAATTGTACCATATATTGTAAGTAAACTGTATCATATTTAAAAATAAAATGTTTATTATAAGATTTTTAGGTACATTATTCAAACTTTATAAATTATAAATTAAATTTTCTAAATATATCAGTTATGTGGATAAAATTTTAAGCAATTTTTTATTAATATATTATATAAAAATTATGAAATATTAAAGTATTATATTCATGTATATTTAAGTTCCCATAATTCAAAAAATGTTAAAATATATCCTACATTTTAAAATTACTATTTATTTTAAACATCAATATTCTATATAATAATAATTAATAAATTTATAATTTATATTCAAGTTTCATATGATTCAAGATGTTTCTCCTGGGGTAAGAAAATCTGCATTGCATGGTTTAAATAATACACTTTCAACTGTCAAAAATTTAAAGCCAAGTGATGCAAATACATTTCCTGAGTATATATTTCCCGGTTTAATAAATGTAAGTTTATTAATCTATTAATAATATAAGTTTATGTATTTTAAATTAATTTCAAAATTTTAGGTGGCACAGGATGATGCAGTTATTGTTAGGTCAACGTTTGCCCAAATTATTTCACAGTTAGCACAAACTGGCTTAAGATTTTTAAAATGCTGTCAGAATGTAAAGGATGATGAACCAACCACAAATGCTTTTGAGACAGAACTGGCCACTCTACATGAAATGGTACAGCAATCAGTATCAGCTCTTCTTACTGATACTCACAATATTGTAAAACAAACACTAGTCAACAGTAATATAATTGAGTTATGCGAATTTTTTGGAACTCAACGAGGTACATTTTTATTTCTTGTAGTTTAATATATTTTATCATTTTTATTTTTAAAAACGTTAATTAGCTTTTTTTTTTTTAATTAGCAAATGATGTGATATTATCTCATATGGTTACATTTTTGAATGATAAAACAGACAAACACTTACGGGCTTCATTTTTTGATAACTTTGTCAATGTAGCTTCTTTTGTTGACCAACAGTGTTCGCCTATATTATGTCCACTTTTGCAACAGGTAATATAAATATAAAGTAAACATCTTTTTCTTATTATAAAATGTGATATTTTTAGGGATTTACAGACAGTGAAGAGTTTGTTGCAAAAAAAGCACTTAATGCAATGGCACAGCTTATTGAAAAGGGTTTGCTTCAAAAAACTGCTCTTTATCAATTAATTAGTGATATTTCTTGTTTTCTCATACACCCAAATTTATGGATAAGACAGGTATGTTTTTACATTATATTGCTAATTTACTGTTTGAAGATCATTATTTAGTTTTGTTTTTATTTTTAATCTAAATATTCAGCCATGAAATAAGTATTTTAATTAAATGTTTAAGATTTATTTTTAATTTTTGTCAGGCAACTGTTGGCTGTTTTAGTGCTACAGCAAGAATGTTGGATGATGTAGATGTTCAGTGCAAAATCTTGCCTGTAATGAAACCATATTTAAAAAATTCAATCATATTAGTAAACAGGGAAGAATTAGTATTAAATACTTTAAAAGATCCTTTACCTAGAAATATTTATGATACTGTTGTAAAATGTTCAATAGTTGAAACTTTAGTGAATATTTTGGGCGAACGAAAAAAAGCCAGAACGATAGTTAACACTGGTCATATACCTTTACCAAGTGTTACACAATCAATGCATCAAAATAATGCATTAAGAAATGTAAATTATTAATTATCATTTATTATTGAATTTATATTTATTTTTAATATCTGTCAATTTAGTTGATTAAGAAACTGGAATCTGAAGGAATGACTGAAGAAATAGAAGATCAACTTTTGGCTTTATCCAAACATATTTTAAAAGTCCATAAGCAGTTAGCATTTGATAACAAATATGGTACTAAAGGAAAGGTAATTTGTTGTACGAAATTTATTTCTGTTCTATAACTTAGTTCTTTATTAGATTAATATTGGAGACACAAAACTCAACATACATTGCTATTCCATAGCATTGGCTCGATCGCAAAATTCAAAACTTCAAGATTCCATTCCAATTGTAAATAAACGTAGAGGCATAGATGATCAGTCAGTTGCCAATATGAACGATGAGTGGAAATGTATGTTTGGTGGTCCAGATTTATCTTCCAAGCAAATGCATCCTTCACGAAATCAGTAAATCTTCATTTCTTCATATAATTATTGAATTTATTTTAACAGTCTTTTTGAATTTAGATCACCAGTTGGCGGTTCATATACTTCAGATATTCAACCATCTCCATCTAATAGTATTGAAGGTCCTACTGATATGTCATACATACATTGCAAGTTAATTTAGTATAAATTATATTTTTTTGTTCGTGCAAAATATGTTATGTCTTAATTATCTTTATTATAGATCGCTATGCACCATGTAAACTAGAATTACGGAAATTGATATCTCATCGTCAAGAGTGTTATGACATTACTATGAGACGCCATGAATGGGCTGAACAAGAAGTATGGAAACCAAGACTACCTCCACCAGGTTGGCGGCTCCGTTCTCAATTAGTAGCTCATCTGCATGAACATAAGTCAGGAGTAAATAGGTAAAAAATATTTATATAAATTTAATAAATAGCAATTATCATATTATTTATATTATTTATACAGTAAATTTTCTTTACATTTTTAACCTCATTTATTTAAAAATATATGTAATTATCTCCTTTGAATTTTTAGTGATGATTCTTCTGTATGTACTTATTTTAGTTTTATGAGTACATATTAATTAAAATTATTTATATGGTTAAATACTGTGTTATTAATTTCTTCTGTAAATATTTTTTCTCAGATTGGTGTCCATTCAAAATACTTCACTATTTGCAAGTTGTTCATCAGACAGTTATGTTCGTGTCTGGGATTGTATGAAAATGGAAGGCAAAAACATTGCTAATCGGTCTAAACAAGTTTATAATCATCAAAATGGAGCATTATATGGGATGACCTCGTGCAGAAATAATCAATCATTGGCTACTGTTAGTCATTCAGGTTCAGTAGTTATTTTAAAGTGAGTAGCAATTCAAATTATATTATAACGCTTTAATATGTTAATACAGTGGAACCTTGCTATCTCAAAATTTCTGTATGTCAAATTCTATTTTTCAGTCCTGATCATTCAGTATTGACTTACGAGTTATGTTATTTTGGTTTATTGAATTTTTCTATAAGTCAACGTCATTATCCAGTACCCATCACCTATTACAATTCACTAACTCGAATATATAACAGATTTTCTACTTTCATAGAAAATAATGTATATTGACAAATACTAATAATATGTATACAATATATAAATACATTCTATATTATAAATACACATTTTTCCTAATAATTAAACATTTTTATTTCAAATTTTATTTGTTTTAAATTCCCTCAGTAACTAAAGGTTTCAATATGTCAAATTTTTTTTTGGTGCCTTGCAACTTCGAGATACTGAAGTTTCACTGTATATAAATATTATACAATTTTTTTACCATTTTGTCTCTGTTTAATTGTGAACAGTTTAGAGTCAAATAGTAATAAATTAGGTGTGATGCAAACAAAACAATTAGATTTACAAGAAGATGGTTGTGCTGTTGATATATCTTATTTGGACTCTGGATCTCAAATGGTACTTGTGTATACAACTGTGTATGGTTCTCTTGTTGGTTGGGATCTTCGTGCTCCTAAATTGGCTTGGAAAGTGAATAACGATATAAAACAAGGTATGTATCATCATTGTAGCACATCAGTCAAAATTATTCTTCATTTTATGTACTGATATGATTTGTATAGGTATTATAACTGCCATGTGTTTAGATACAAGACAAAGTTGTCTAACATTAGGTACAAGTAGTGGATATCATACATGTTGGGATTTGCGTTTTAGGTTACCGATTGCCACTATTGCTCATTCCAAAGGTATTAATTTTCATCTCTTGATCCCAAATAATTTGAACAAAATTGAATTATGTTTATATTAGCTGTACGTGTAAGAAGATTAATAAAACATCCGACAGAACCATCATGGATTATATCTGCTATGCAAGATAACAATGAAGTAACAGTATGGAATTTAGAAAGTGGTTCAAAACAACAGACTCTTTGGGCTAGTAGTGCTCCTCCACTGTCAACCAGTCAAGTATAAAAATGTTTTGACTATTTTTAAAATAAGATCTTAACTATATGGTGTATTGTATTATGTAGACTAATAACCATAGTGTTTGTGCATTGTATTCGATGAATACAGATCATGGTCCAGAGTTGTTGACAGGAGGTACTGATCAAAGAGTACGTAAATGGAATTTGACATCACCAAGTGATTCTTATATAGCCATACCAGCAGCAAATGATGTTATGGGTCATTCATTATATTGTTATGAGTATGTATACAATTTATAGTTGTATTATTAATTATTAATCAATAGCTAAAAGTCACTAATGAGTGACTGCTAATTCACACCGTTCATCTTATCATCTTAATCTCATAATTTAAACATATTGTGCTAAATTGTATGGATTGTTTATATAAAATAAAAATAAAAATAAATAAAAAAATTATTAATTATTAATTTTTTTATGATTAGGTGTAGATTAGTTGATGGCACTAATGTTGTACAAGAAGTGTGTACAAAATCAAACAGTACAGTAATGACTGGTGATGAGGAACCATTGTGTGCTACTGATCAACCGGCACCTGGCCATGTAGGGTCTATACTAGATATAACCTCGTGCATGGCGTCCCAGTGTTTTCTAGTCTCTGCATCTTGCGATGGAATTATTAAAGTATGGAAATAATATTAACAAGAATGTATGTTCAACTAATAGTAATAATTGAATGTATTAAATGTTATATAAATATAATATGATTGTGATAATGAAAATTTGTAACTGTTATATATGTTAAAATATACTAAAGTTTTATTTTTTTTTTTCAAATTATTTTTGTATTATTTTGCAAGTAATAATTAAAATTTCATTTTTTAGTTATTTATTGTAAATCATAAAATATATTTTAACATTCTATTAACGTGATATAATCTTCATTAAAATGTTAATTATTTTCCTAATTGTTTTATCTTACATTTAGTTAAACATTTTTCCTATTTTTTCTTAGAATAAAAATTGGTTTTGCTAACTCTTTTGCAAACTGCTTATTCCATTTTTCCATTATAAATAAAGAACATTTTTACTATCAATTTCGGGGCATTAACTATAATACAGTTTCTTTTGAGAAAATAAGATTTTTTTATATTGTGCAAATTTTTTTTGAACAAATAAGTGTCCTGTGAGAGTAGTGTATATGTAACTAATATTCTGAGCAACATAAATGTCGCCGAGTAATTATTTTGTCCCTTAGAATATGATATTTTTAATTACTACATAACACCAATGTTTTGGCAAAAATTAAAATATTTGTAATTATTTATAATTTTATTTAGTAGCCATTTATTATGCTTGATTTTATTATTTATTTATCATTTCATTTAATGATTTGAAGTTGGAACATAATTTATATTGATTATCAAATTTTTTTGTCACCCAGTGAACATTTCTTAAAATATTCACTATGTGTAAAGGTTTTATTTAAATTAAATATGGTAATCACTAATAAAAATATAATTTCCATCCCAATTCTTAATATTTTATAATAATATACAACATAAAATAAAATACTTTGATATATTTATTATAATATATAAAAATGGTTACTTAATAATATTTAACTTAAATTAAGTAAGTAACAACGTTGGCGTACAAAATATTTAACATGATGAGAACAGATATATACATTTTAACATTTAAGTTATTTTTAATTCAGGAATATTGAAGTTATTGAAAACATTTTATTGTTACAAAAATATGATATATATATATATAATTTTTTACAAAAAAATTATTAAAACAACCCTGTTTAATAAAATAACAATCTTTTGTAATTAAATGATTCACATAAACAATGAAATTTAGATAAATTATTTTGCAAGTGAGATCCTTCACCTCAATAATAATTATGAAACATTCACTAGATGTAAATTAGTACTAATTAGTAATTATTACTCTTATTACTCTTATTTTTAAAGTTATATCACATAATATGATCTATACATAAATTTGGTAAGGCAATTTCCTTAAAACTTTATAAGTAATATAAATATTTATGATAAAATTATTAATTATAAAGTCACAAATTATAATACATACCATAAAATATAATATATTACGGAATGTGATTAATTAATTCTAATAAGTTTTAATCAGAACTTAATAAACTTTCCTTGGACATATGTAGAAGTAACAGCATTGTAAGCTGCCTTAGAAAATGATCTTACTCCTGGGATTTTTGAAATACCCCATAAAAGCAAACCATAAGTAGACACCTTGATAACTATTTTAATAATTTTACTACTTCTTGATTGAGGTGGAATGCTAAAGATAAAATATATACAGATAAATATATACATCTTGCTTATGATTAACATTATAATAACCATAACACAAGTATTTAAATGATTAAATGAAGAAAGTTCATTTAAAAGTTTACTCTATACATATAAATCAAAAATATTTTAAATAAATAAAAAATATTGAGTTATAAATCATAAAACCAACTTACATAATTAATTCTGCAATTTCTTCTTTGGTAATAGTTTCCCAATAGTTTTTAATGCCAGCGAGATGGCCTAATCCAACTACCCCAACAATTACTTGAGGTTCTATCAAATAGAAATAATTTAAAATTTATATTATTTAAGCATTTTAGATTGAATAAGAAACTAAATAATTAAATTTAATTACTTGAAAAATATGAATTAGGTTTAAGACCAGTTTTGTCAATTTCGAAACCAGCACAATTTTGTAAGCTATAAGTTAAAAATTTGTCTCTTTCATCAACTATTACTTTCTCTAACTCTGGATAATCAGCAGCCATTTCAATCATTAAAGTTTCCAGCATATCTTTGTTCTTGAACTTTTCTACATCTTCTTTTCTAATTCACATTAAAATATTATCTATATTTCATTCTTTTGTATACAAAATAAACCATTTATAACATCAGGTAATAGAACTCAAATCTTGCAATTAGAATTTTTATACAAATAATTATATTTATTTAAACATTGAACATTTTTCAATGGTTTATCAATTATGTTAATGACTATAAAGTTTTTCGCCTATTGTATTTATTGTATTATGAAAACTCACGTAATTTTAAAATCCGCAGTAAATAACAAGTGTGCTAAGAGTCGAATAATTTTAGGCCAACTCAACATAGAAATCACTCTTTTTATGGTTATATCAACAGGTCTATCACCTAGATAAACATAGCTGTCATATTTTTTAGCCTTTATTTAAAAATACAAAAATTAATTAATTATAAAAATTAAAACTATAATAGTTAAATACTTCATCAACTGCTCTGCGAAATTCTCCTCCAGGTACCATGCCAAGATCATGTGAAATTTTTGCTGATATATTTATCATAAGCTGATAAAATATACCTTGGGTGAATCCTAATTTTTTTATAGAATTTTGTAGCCCTTCTAAAAAATTCAGTAATAATTTGTAATAATTAAGCATTATTAGAAAAATATATTAACAGTTAATTTAATATACATATATTTTATAGTACAAATATAATTAATAAATTGGTCTTGAACTTTATCTGAACTTTTTTTCAATTTAAATACAAATAATTTTTGGTTTATTGAGTTAAAATTACAAATTATGATTTATTTTTAAAGAAAAAATGGCAATATAAGTCTAAAAACAACACATTTTTTATTTGTATTTCTTTTAAATAATTAGATGTAAATAAACAATTTGTATATACAATAAGAAAATAAATAACTAGAATTATATAACAGAATAAATTGTTGTAGACTTTGGATAGTGAATATTTACAATAAGAATATAGCATTATATTATACTTCATCATAGATATTTATATTATATAAAGATATAGACATTTTTGTCTTTAATTAGTGATACAGAATACTGTGTACCTATCTTATGTCTAAAGTTTAAATAAAAAGTTGTTATTAGTGTACATATAATTTCACGTAGCTCTTTAGAGAATTAACTGCAGAAATTAATCAAAAAATAAATTTCAGACTTAAATGGCAAGGCCTGCATAAATTCTGTATTCATTTATATATGATTTTACTTCAATTAAAAATGAACAATAAGATAAATACTTAATTGTACATGTAATTGGTAAAATTTGAAAATTCCTACATTATTCAAGACCTATAATATGTTACAGTTGTACAAATAATTTAATATTACAATAAGTAACATTAAATTAAAAAAAAGACATGTAAATACAAATTAAAATAATATAAAAATGTATTGTATATAATTAATACCTAATGTAATGCCTGAAACATTGGCAATAGTAGATTCATCAATTGATAATATGCTATTTCTGTTATAGCATAATTCTATAACAATGATATCTGGCTTTACTGCATTTATTACCTGTTACAAATTACAAAATAATACAAATGTTTTAATATATTTTACATAAATAAATAAATGTAATTATACTTGAGCAACATCTTCTTGGCTTTCTTTGCTAAAATGTGCAGTGCCAACAAGATAAACCACAGAACCATTTGAAGACTTCAGTACTGCTACAGTGTCTGGGAAATTAGTAACTTGTTCTTCTACCATTTCCGATTTGTTTAATAAATATTATTACTTTTCAAAAAAATGTTCTAAAAGTAATTAAACACTAATTAGTAGATATTAGGATCAAAATAAAACAGAACTTTAATTATAGTAAACTATCAGAAAATTACGAATACACCCAGGGTACCTATTATTTATTACCAATTTCGTAATTGTTTATAATTTTTAAATATTAAATTTTCATTAGATACCTTATCAGATATTACTTGACACGTAATCGATATTTATCAAAGAACTTAAAGAAACTTATCTGAGGCTACGTGTTATAATATACAATATATATAATATTATAAATAGTGATGGGTATAATCAAATGATTTCAATAATCGATACATTAGTAATTAAAACATTTATATAATCGAGAGATGTCACGAAATAATCATTCAAAATGTACAATTGAAATATTAATAATTGAGATACGAGATACTGTCATAATCGAGAGGTATATATACAGATAATTATCCAAAATCATTTTTGAAAATAATTGTATTGTATTTCCTTTTGCTATTGAAAATAAAGTGAATTATTCTATTCAATATACCAACAGTAAACCGCAATATAAATATTACATTTTTATTAATATAATATTATTAATAATTTAATAGCATAATAAACACACTGCAATTGGCGTGCGGTTGGACTCTCCCTCACGTGGTACCAACTGGGTTTATAAGGTTGACGTCGGTGGATCAACCATAAGAGCAACTAGGGGGGCTTAGCCCCCCGACCAAGATTTAACCCCCCATAAATATCCCATATCATATATGGCAGTAGCATACAGCATACTTAACTCACAATAGTGTCACATACAAAAAAAGACACATTGCAGTAAATCCAACTTGGCTCAGAATCTAAAATATATTAACATGGTATATAAGAGTAGGGGTAATCTACAGATTATTTTAAGTTTTGGTAGAAGGGCTGAAGTGCCCTCAGATTTTTTACCCTGTTTGCGCCTATAGAGTCAACCTGTGGTTTTGAGACACTTCCTCTATTCTGAATTTTCAAGCCTGCTAGAGGAAGGCCGTAATGAAGTATATGTACAATGGTACTCGGGGGCGGATTTCTCATTAGACATGATAGGCAGCTGCTTAGGGAGTCAAATTCTGTAGATTTTCATTAAAAAACATAAAACGTACGAAAAAAAATTGGAAAATTAATTACTTTATATTTACAAAAAATAATTGTATAATAATGTGTGCATTTTGTTAATATTTTTTTTTATCTATTTTGGTTCATTATAATTTATAGTCATTAATGTCATTAATGACTCATTAAAAATAAAAACAACTGTACAGAAAACAGTTTTTGATAATAATATATTTAACACGTTGGTATGGTCCGATCAGAACCCGCGTTGCTACGTTAAAAATACTTACGGTCGACTATGGTTCATATATAATATGAATTATATCAAGCAACAATGGTTATTAACAGGGCTCGTAAGTTCATGCATTTGCATATCAATCTTGTAGAGTTGTATTTAATGCTAGATGACATAGAAATCCATTTAAAGGTACCATGATTAAATATGTGAAATCTTATTTTGTATGTTTTTGCATATTTGGTATGTTTTTGTATATTTGACATATTTATGCATATTTTTATTTTACCGGGCATATTATACAACATTCTATTAAAATCTATCAAAAATCGAAATGGAAAATATAAATAAAATTAAAAATATAAATTGTATTATCTTCTATTTTATTTTATTTTTGATACTCGTACATTTAATGAATAAATTTGTTTTAAAAATTTTATTTAAAATTAATTACTGACCAAGACGTACATTATACGCAGTTCATAAAGACCCAAGAATAGTATTAAATAGTATTTATAATCAATTTTTTTATTTAATTGGGACATAAAAAAATAAAATATACCTATAAAAATAATAAATGGATAATTCATGTTATTTCAAAAATTATTTATGATTTTTTTAAGTAAGCATTTTTTAAGTGCATAATTTTAGATATTTAGTGCATATAAATGCATATTTTTTAACTTTTTAAGGCATATTTCAAAGCATACTTTGCCAATTAGTGCATAAATGCATACTTATTTAGGCATTTTTTAGATCATGAACTTAGGAACCCTAATTATTAATACTATTTTTATCGGATATCGTTGTCGTCGGAATTTCGGGGAAAATAAATATATACACTGCCATACTGTATTACTAAATCGACTGTATATAAAGAATCCTAGGCTATAATGAAAATCTGTTTTTATTAAAATTTAGTAGACATCCATTGACATTTTTCAAAATAGACTAATTAATAAAAGCGAAAAAACTGTCTAAAAATTCAAATGGATGTGGGTACATATGTCTATCTATCTATCTATCTATCTATACTATTTATAAAATTGTAAGGGTTTTTCTTCGACCGCGCTAACCGAGAAAACTACAGAACCGATTTGGCTGAAATTTTTTTTGGCTGAAACCCGACACTCTGTTAAAGGTTTTAGTACCACTTTTGTCAGTAAAAAAGTTCATAAAAGTTCATAATAAATTAAAAACAATGTACCTATATTGTGCGTGTACCTATAATATCAATCCGAGATTGATTATTTAAATATTAAAGCGCTTCAAATTGGACGAATGACTATATTATGTCCTAAGTGCCATGCAAAAAAATGGAAAGATGAAACCCATGGATTTTGCTGTGCTGACGGTAAAGTTGTTTTACACCAATTTGAGGATCTTCCAGACCTAATTAAAAGTTTAATTGATACCTAATTCTCACCCTCTATCAAAACATTTCTTTGATAATTCTAGACGGTATAATACTTTGTTTCAAATGACATCGTTTGGAGCAAACAAAATAGCTGAAGGGAACTTCATGCCCTCTTTTCAAATTCAGGGTCAAGTGCATCATTTAATAGGTAGTTAATTACCCGAAATTGGAAATAATGCTAAATTTTTACAAATATATTTTATGTCAGAGTCGGATCAAATTTAAATATTAATATTTTAAAATTTAAAACCAAATTTAAAAAGAGGTCTCATTGAATCATTGCAAACAGTTTTGCGTGAAAATAATCACCTCATACAGAGCTTCAGATCTAATCTAGAGTCGAGGTCTTTTGATGAGTTGCAAAACTTTAAGTTAATTATTCATGCTGAGAGAGTTCCTCAAGATGAAAACAGAGGTCAATATAATGCACCTACCATCGATGAAGTAGCTGTATTATTAGTTAATGAAGATAAAGGTCCCAGAGATATAGTTCGGCACGGTCGGAGTGGACACTTGAGTCGAGTTTCCGAATTGAATAGATCTTATGATGCATTGCAATATCCATTGATGTATACTAGAGGCGAAGACGGTTATCACATTAATATTTTACAGAAAAATAACCAAAATTGAACAAAAACTGTCTCCTGCATCCAATTTTATTCTTATAGGTTTATGGTTAGAGAAACAAGTCTAAATCATCTACATTATTACAAAACATTATTCAGCCAATTCGCCGTAGATATGATGGCAAAAATGATTTCTGAAAGGTGTAATAATAAGTTTATGGGTGGCATAACATTTATTTTCGCTGGTGATTTCCGTCAAACCTTACTAGTAATCCCTAAAGGTACTCGAGCTGATGTCGTTAATACTTGCTTAAAATCTTCCCCTATATGGAATTATGTTGAAAAACTTTATTTGCGAACAAACATGAGAGTTTATTTATGCGGAGGGGACGATATTTTTCCAGCACAGTTGTTGAAAATTGGAAATAGAACTTTAGAAAATGAAAATGGTTACATTTCTGTCAATCACACGATTGGACGGGTGGTCAATAACGTGGAAGAGTTGATTTCTACAGTTTGTCCTGACATTTTTAATCTGTCCAATAAATCTTATCAGTGGTTATGTGAAAGAGCTATTATCTCTCCGAGAAATGTAACAGCAGGAGAAATTAATGATATCATCCTTCTAAAATTCGATGAACACTCACGTGAATATCTATCTATTGATACAGTTACATCAACAGATGATGCTATTCATTATCCACTAGAATTTCTCAATTCTCTTTCTCTTTCGGGATTACCTCCTCATAAGCTAAAATTAAAAATTGGTGCTCCAATTACATTATTACGTAATCTTCAATCACCGAACTTATGTAACTGTACAAGATTACAAATAAAATCGTTGCGAAATAATATTATAGAAGCCGTAATTCTTACAGGGCCAGCGAAAGGAGAAATTGCATTTATTCTAAGAATTTCCATGATTCCCTCTGACTTGCCGTTATCTTTCAATTCCATCTTTCTGCTTCAATTCCCGGTTAAAGTTTCTTTTGCCATTACCATAAACAAAGCGCAAGGTCAAACATTCAAGTACGTTGGCGTAGATCTTCGTACAGAGTGCTTTTCACATGGACAATTATACGTGGCATTTTCTCAAACTGGGGACCCGAATCATCTTATGATTTTAATTTCAACAGAAAATACAACAAAAAACATCATATGCTCAGAAATCTTATAAAATTCTTATTTTAAATCTTTTTTTTTTCTTTTTTTTCTTCATCAACTTCAATCAAATTCTTTATCAACCATAAATTATTTCTTTTTTATCTGTATTTATTTTTATCATTTATAACGCTAGAAAAATTTCAATCCGTTTTCATTAACCGTTTTTTATATTTACTTGCCGATTACATTAAACAATAATATTTGAATAAAAAATTCTACACATCATGGTCTGAAGGCAAAATAAACAACCAATCACGAGCGAAGCTGTGACGAGTCGGCTATATATCTAATATTTAGATTAGGTATTTTGGAAGGGATAATATAACTTTTTCACCTAATATAGGGGCGGTAAATTGTTGGTGCCTATAGTCGTAAAAAAGATAAATCCGCCACTAATGGTACTATAGACTAGGAGCGGACTGAGAGTACTTCGACCCGGGTGGAGAAGATTTGAGTGGCCCACATTTTTTTTGTATGATCAAAAAATTTGCAGCTCGCTGTGTTCGTTTATCATAGGCTAAAATCTCCTAAAAGGGTATTTAGCACCACCAATATATTTTAGAAATAAATAATACATATCATCATTCATAATATTATATTATATCGTTTACTTAAAATCTTTTATGTCTATATTTAGATATTACTGAGATAACAATGTATTAGGTACATATTTTTCAGATAATTTATGATATACTAGTGATCAATGTGCATTTGTGCTGTTTCGACCTACTATTATATAATACAATTCTTGATTATATTATGTACCTATTATTATTTTATAAGTAAATTTTTATTTTCACAAATTTGTTTCTATTTGTTTTAAAGATTTGTCGGAGTATTTGAAATTTATGAGTGAGTGACAAAGCCCCCCACGGGTTACTGATAAGTTAATTTTGGAGAGTCTTGAGCATCCCCAGAGTACTAAGTGGATTTGCGTCTATGTCACTTATGATTGGCTAAGCCCGGATTATGATATATTTGGGGCTTGGGGCCAAACAATTTTAGAGGCCCATAACCATAATCAAAATATTGATGACCCACACATAAGTATATTTCAGAGACAAAAAAAAAATTATATTCTAGTTTATAAATTTATTTCTTGCTTTTTTTAATACAAAAAATAAAAATTTTATTTATATAAATAATTTTTTCTTTCTTTTTGAGAAGCAAACCCTTTAATTATATCATCGGTATTAATTACCTCTAAAACATTATTCTCTGAACAAAAAACCATAAAACTATATACTAGTTTATATTTGTTATTTATACGAGCTAAAAAAAAAAAAAGAAAAAAAGAGTTAAAAAATGAAAAACCTACTATTGTTTGATATTCGTTGTGGGCCCTGACAATGGCCCCCTCTGCCCCCCCCCCCTTTAATCCGGGCTTGTGATTGGCAAATTTTACAGCCTCTACGTACATTTATAACGACTCTAGATATCTAGATTTAGTCTTTATTTACGTCAAATATAATTTCAGCACAAAAATTCATCAAATACATTATTACCACAAAACAGTGAATACCTTATTTTCGCATAAATAATTTATAATAATAATACGAGTATAATAGGTAACAAATAAATTAATGAAATATCTTATGCTTATTATTTAAATTTAAATATATAAATTCAACATTTGATGCATAACGGTGGATGATTCTTTTAAATAGTTAACAATTTCCGAGACATTTATTTCATCCAACAGCTCTTTTTTTACTAACATTAAAGCAGAGACTCTAAATTTTCCTGATTTAAATTGGATCTTAATTTAGTTTTAATGCTTTTCAGCTTATTAAATGTACGTACACAGATAACTTCTGTAACTAATAAAGTTAAAAAAAATGCATACGCTTCGTTTAGTGTAATACAAGCAGACAAATGTAAATTTAAACTAGGTATATATCAAACTTAGACACAATGCAAGCAATTTTTCTTGTCGTGGTTACTGTAAACTGTATTACCTGAAACCATAAAAAACAATATTATTGATCATGATTAAATAAACATTGTAAATAAAATGAATATTTACACTATAAATCTTACAAGGAATCATATTTTTATAGATTCCATCAACTTCTTTGTTTTCTAATTCGATTTCCATGTCACTTCCCTTCAGTTTCGGACTCCGAGTATTTTAATTTTGTTATTTTCTCTATTGGATTAAATATGTTTGGGTAGACTTTTGAAAAATGTTGAAGTTTCAGTTTTAATTAATTAAGATCTAAACTTGCTATAAATTACTAGGTATATTAGTAAAATGTAGATATATATACGATATTACAAGTTAATAATAATATTATGTAAAAAAAATCGTGTCCCAGGATTGTGTATTTGTGTGTTATTATCTATTATTGTTAATTTAGTAACTATAGCATAATTGAATATAAGATTATAATATAATATATTTTATTAAAAGTGCACCATGACGAAGGAGTCCTCACGACAGTGGCCCCGGTGGATTTCTCCCATTCTTCACCTGGGCCAGTCCATCACTGCTATAGATCATATTATATACATATAAATATTACATATTATACAGTCCAGTAGTCAGTAGTATTCGCCATACGGCTGTGGCACATATAGGGGGGTGTCTAGTGGGCTACAGCCCCCCCCCGAAATTATTTTAAACATATGTTCTATTTTAATGATGCTTTATGCTTATTTAGAATTTGCGTCCAAGGTCAAATCGTTTTGGGACATTTTGTAAATGAAATGTAGATAAGTACCTACTGTGTCTTGTTAGTAATTCTTAGATAGCAGTGGTTATTCAACTCTGTCCATAGTAGCCCCTCCGGAAAATATTTTCTATATATGCCACTTCCATACGGGTAAGAAAAGCATTCGATTATTTTATTATATTTGAATGAATTTTAAAATAATTGAGTGTGACTAATTCAGCATAAATAATACCAATCACTCAATCATCAGTGTAGGCAAGTGCAAGGTTTTCTTTCTCGAATAATTGTAATCACTTTCTCAAAAATAAATTGCAACAACCCGCTTAACTTTAATATTATAAAATCTTACAGATAGTGTTAAGATTATAATCGTACACTAATTTAATTGACTCGGTTGGTATCTCATTCTTCTAGTCATCATGCATTTATCTGTTTTTGCTACCACATGCTTGATTGATCAACAAAGTACAAGTATTTGGTCAACAGAACATATATTGAAATTCATTCAAATCCCAGCTCTTAAAATGATAGATTGAATTTTTTCTACATAAAATATGGAATAAATAGAAATATTAAAATGTAATTAAATATATGTTAAAAACTTCCTTCAATTAAGATTAACAGTGGCTTTTTTGGTATTTGTCTATCAACATTGCTATAGATAAAAATGTTTTCTGTAAATAATTATATTTATTTATTATTAATATAATTGAAATTCTATTGAAAAAAACAATATCTATAAATTATTGATTGAACTGTTATATTTTTCAGGAGTTATGTAATGAGTTATACATTATAGTATATATTTAGAACAAACATAATAAACATAAGTCCACTAAGATATAAATTAGAATATATTACACACTTAAATAAATGTATTAATTTTTGAAATATACCTCAATTGACGTACTGAAAAAGAATACAAATAAAGGGATGAAAATTTTGATTTATTACACGAATAAATTTAAATAATTCATTATTTTATTTTCATCCGTATTAATAAAAAGTAAGAAAATAGCATATAAAAAAAATTCAGTATACAAAAAATTAAAATTATAAATTATTTCATAAATTTGTCAGCACATTTTCTTAGTATTTTACATGATTCTTTAGCATGCATGAATAATGACGTAGTCTCCTCAATATCAACTCGAAGTATGGAATTATGTCCATTCATCTTAGCGTTTTGTGACGATGGTATCAACAATTGAATGGCATATCTATAGTAAAAAAATTAGTAAATTTTTAATTACATGTAATTTTTAAATAGTAAAAGTACAATCAGATTTTTGAAGAAAATATTTCAACTAAGTTATAACTTTAAATATACTACTTTATTTGATATTTTTTATTATTTACCCACAAAATATTTTACCTTAAAGTAGTAGAAGTACCAACTTCGGCAAGATAATGAAGTGCATCAGGCTCAATGGAATGACCTTCAGTTTGTGCTCTAAGTTTAAGTATACTCTCCATTTCTTCTCTATTATATGGAAGAGTTCTAATTATTAATAATCTATCAAGTAAATCCATAGGAATTCCATGAGGAGCAATGATATCATCTGTTCCTCTATAAAAAAATAATAATTATTCTAGAAAAAAACAATTTTAGTTAAATTTGTAATAAAATATTTATCAACCTGACAACACAATGTCCTCTATTAGTAGCAAAAATTACAATAGGTGCAATGGTACTTTCTAATGCCTTATGTAAATATGTGAATGTTTCCAAATCAAGCATGTGAACTTCATCAATGAATAAAACTCCAGGAACTAATTCAGCAATACCCTGATCAATATACTTATTAACCACTTTATTAATTTCCTTTCTTAATTTATCTAAAATGAAACACAATTACACAATTTTAACAAAAAAAATTATACTTCTTCTACTATACTGTAAATAAAATTACCAGTAATTTCCGTCTTTTTGGTCTTCATTAGTTGACCCATCATAGATAATATATCTTGACCACCTTTTGGTTGAGCATTGGCAGCATCTAAATCATGCAATGTCACATCTTGGATGACTTCTTTTTTTTTATGGACCTCACCTTTTGGTAAAGGTACATATTCTTCAGCCTAAATATAATATTTACATATCTATTACTGATAATGTAAAAATTAGGCATTTTCACTACTACTTAAAAATGGTTGAGAACCAGTGGTATATAATATTACACCATAACCAAAAAATATATATTTTATTTTATTTACTATATTTAATTTTGAATTTTAGAAAATAAATTTAGTTTTATTGCAGGTGAGATAAAACTTGTTAAAACAGTTACATTTTGAGTTCCTAACCTGGTATAGAATGCAGTTATAACAGTATTTTAAATAAAAGTTATAAAATAAAACTTTTTTTGAATAATACTTTAAGTGCAAATTAATACTTAGTGATATATTTGAATAATAAAAATATTTCTTAATTTACCTAGAATATCAAAGAAACAAATTATGTTATTAAATTGAACAATTTAATTTAAGCTTTCAAAATAGTAATTAAAAGTTATAAATAACTTTAAAATATTATTAAATGTAAAATAAAAATAATAATGCAAAGTAAATAATTAATTATAATTTTAAAACTCTTTATCAAATTTTTGGGTATTTAATGCAAATATGTATTAATTGATACAAACTTAATAAATATATCAAATGGATCCTTAACTTATTTTATTATAGATACAGAACAATTTGATTAAGGTCTCAGCATTAATTCATACATAAGATTAATAGATACCATGCCAATTTTGTTTTAACAATTAATAGTTAAAATAATTTTCTTGAATAGTATATATTTTATTATATTATATTAGGTATATATAAATTACTTCTAAATCGTATTCAGTAGCATAACTATCACTTCTTCCTTGTCGCTTAACTGCTCCACTATTAGCTTCAATGTAAATAACATCTCCAGTTTCAACCTTTTCTTTTTGTAAAGACTCATAAATTGTAGGATCTAGTTTTAATTGTTTAGTGCCTTTGGCTGTCTTTAATCCAACAATAACATGAGATACAGTTTTTGAATAACCTACAGTTAAAATAATTAAAATTTAGTAAAAATAAAAATAAAATATAATATTGAATTAATTTTTTTTTACCTCCAGCAGTAGAATCAGTTTCAACTGGTGTCATTTCAGTAACTTCTCCTTCGTATACTTCTTTTGTTTCTTTTATACGAAGACCAATAGCACGACGGAAGTTTTCCATTAATACTTCTGTTTTTTTTATTTCTGAACTATATACTTCAGATCCTACCATTGGGCAAAATGGAACCTATTTCAATAATATATATATAGAAAATCTGTACTTATCAACAATTTTATAATATTTTATTTTTCTATAGTATGATTTATTTAATGTAAGACAATTCTCAAAATAAATAAATAAGTGCCTTACATTCAAAATAATCATTTAGTTATGTTATGTTATGTTATGTATATTTCTTTAAAATGCTTTAAATAATTCATACTTTATTTCCAAGTTCATGAGCAATAGCAAGAGCAATTGCAGTTTTGCCTGTTCCCGGGGGTCCAGCAACTAAAACAGCACGTCCAGCCATTTTTCTAGTTTTTATCATATCCACGACAATACCAGCAGCCTAAGATACAAAATAATCAAAATAAGAACAAGTACAAAAAGTTAATAAACTTTATGAAAAAAATATATGTAATGTAGAATCAATTACATTCTATGTAAGTTAAAATAATGATTATATTCTTCTTTTAAGTTATTAATATATAATAAGCTTAAATAAATTATAGTTATTAATAAGTTTTGAGATATTTTCAATATTGTTATAGTATACATAACAGTATGTATAATGAACACTAATAAGGATAATTTCAAACAGTAAATTACTGTTTTATAACAAATGGTTTTAAGAAATTAGTAAAAAAAAGATAATTAATCAAGATGTTTAAATAATAGATACATTAAATATGTATAGGTATATTATTCCAATATTTCTATAATTATATGTAATTTGTGTTTTTAATCAGTTAGTCAAAAAAAGTAACCTAATTGCTCATAGAAATATAATTACTATTAATATTTGAAACAGATATATTTCAACAACAAAAATGTTTTTGACAGTCATAAAAGTATTGAAATATACCACACAAAATAAAAAATATTTTTAAATGATTTTACTTGTCTAGCATCTGCTTGACCAACCAATCCAGAAGCTATTTGAATAGGATCACCGGATTCATCGAGTCCCAAGCCTTTAACATGGCTGTGACTAGAAATACGTTGGGTTTTTACAGTACTTTTAACCTCTTCGATTTTCATAGTTAATAGAAGCTAAATAAATTAACTACAAATAAAAAACGAAAAACTTAAATTAAAATTTTAATAAAGTGACATGAAATTAGAACCATATAAAATACAGGGATGTTCAGTATTCAACTTTATAATGAGTTGGGTGTCGCAATGATTTGCCTCGTGCAGTCACTATTATCGAAAAAGCGCCATTCTTTATCAATATTAATACTATGGAGACCGGCATTTTTCATGGCTAATAAAACTTTATTATTATTCCATGACATATCTATCCATGTTTTTCATATGTTTTAGATTTTTTACTCCAGGGTCTAGTATCTTTATATATGTCATTATCATAATGAAGTACGATTATTTGCTCATTTGTCGTTCGTCCAAAATTCGCTAAACATTCTTGCCGAATCTATTCGTGCTAATTTAACTGTAGTTCTTTTGAGTTATTAATCTTATAAATTAATATACAAGTCAATAAGTTCAACAAAATGTCAGACACTGAAGAAAACGTAAAAAAAATCACGGTGACGGTAAAAACGCCCAAAGGGAAGCAATCAGTCGAAGTACTAGAAAATGCTACTATAAGTGAAGTAAGTATATTCATAAATACACGTATGTATATCAGTGATTATGGTGTATACATTCTTCAAACATTTTAATAACACTATTAAATCGTAATATTTTTAATGTTAGTTTTTTTTTTTTGTTTCTGATTGAAAATTAAATTATTATTCATCGTATTTTTAGGTTATGTAATTATTTCAGCTGACTCATTTTATTATCTTTAAAATTGTATTTACTATTTTAACTGGATACATTGATACACTATAGAACCTGTACGATAGTTAAGTGTCGCAATAATTAATATTTTGTTGTGCAATAATTGTGATAAAACCGAAACCGGTAATCATGAATTTCATATTACAAAACAAAAAAATTACATTTAAAAAAAAAATTTAATACACATTATGAAGATATAAATTAAATTTCAAAAATTCCAAATCCTAATACATTATTAACTATTGATTAATTTTTTTAAGAATAAATAAGAAAAAAATGTGTTCTTAATTATTTAATAACAAATTCAACGTTTTAAATAATGTATAAAATTAGTAGTATAATGGAGTTGTTGATGAATAAATATTTAGCTTATATTAGTGATTAGTATTTAAAATTTGAAGTCTTGTATTAATAATAAAAACAATTAAAAATTTTAAGATACTTATAATCCAATTATAATAAGTTCTATATTTAAATTAAAACATATTTACATAAATACTATATTTTTCATTGTTTAAAAAAACATTCACAAATTCATATTGTATATTGGGAGTATTAAATATTTATTTAAAGCTTAAATTTTTGTTTAAGTTGAAGGATATTATATTTAAAAAAAATAAGACCTAGCTAAAAATAGTTAAATTTTCAAGTTTTCCCTCTATTTTTTTATTTTTCTGTACACAATATATTTCAATAAAACGAAATTTACTTTTTTATAGATATATATTTTAATGTACCATAATGTATTTAGTGGTGTATCTCCAGAACTTCTGTAATTATATTTGTAAAATATTTACTTTCTCTTAAAATATGTATTTTTATAATTTATTTTGTTAGTACTTATTATTTTTTTTTTAATTTAAGTTTACAAAAGAAAATTGAATTATAAAAAGAAGTATCTACTTCCTATTTATTACTGACTAAATGTATAAACAAATTATCTTATTTAATTTTTACTTCAATGTTAAATATGATATTGATTTTATGTAAATCTTTTATGTTAAAACTATTTGTTTAAATCAAGCCTAAAATTGAATATTACAGATTTCACATTTTATACCTTGCCAATGATTTATTTCTATTTTATTTAATTTTTAAATAGTACTCTTGAGATTTATAAATAGTATAGAAGATATTCTTTAATGAAAGTTCTTATATTTTTATACCTTTGTGTATAAAAACCATTATATGGTTTATATATATACTAATATTATTTGTTTATAAATGTTTTTATTTATATATGATAACTATTACTTCTTTTTCTTGCTTAGCTTAAAAGTGCATTTAGGACTATCATTGCCATCAAAATCCCCCTCCATCTATCTTTCTGATACGCTGTCTCTGAAGTTGCGTTCTGGTCTATTTTTGATAAATCTTGGGTAACTACGTCAATCCATCGAGTTTTGGGTTGTCCTATAGGTCTTGTTTTATTTATTTTATTAACTAACAAATTTTTAGTTAGGTGTCTATCTGCTCTCCATGCATGCCCAAACCATTTTAGCCGTGTTCTCCTAATAAAGGAGATAATTTCTGGCCTACTATATAGACTGGTTTATGTTTTCATTAATTCTTCTTTCATATGCTTGTATTGCTGGGTTAAAGATTAGTTCATTTATTGTTCATAGTACTTTTCTTTCGAACGTTATAAATCTTCTGCTATCACCTTTGGTCAATCATTATTACTGATCAGAGTAGCTATAGGATAGTCTTATCATTGATTCCCTAGATAATATCTTAAATCTAAAAAATTTAATAATACTGAAATAGCTCCTATTTTGACTTGTAATCAGTTCATTTATCTATATATGCATATCATTTTTGTTATTGATGTTTATGCCTTAATTACTTTTTCAAATTTGTAATTATCATTTCTTTTGATGAATATTACAGTTCTCTAAATTAAGCACTTATATTTATATGATGTATAAAAAATGTTTTCTTTTTATTTATTATCTTTTTTTCTTTTATTTTTTTGATTGATTCATAAGCCCAGCAACTATGGCTATTAGCTGTTAGTAGGGTTATTGTAGGTTTTTTGGTAGTGTTTTGGAATGGTTGGTTTGTAACACATGAGTGTTTGTGTTGTTTGCTTGGTAGAATTTCGAATGGGCATCCGTAGGTTTCTGCCATGCCTGGTTGAGGGATGGCGGTCTCTTTCTCCAGATAATTGTCTGCCCAGAGAGAAGTACCACCTGTGACCGAGGTTTGAACCGGTGACGGTGTGCGTTGCAACTGATGCTTTAGTCTGCTCGGATACTCCACATAATTTTATTTATTATCTTATTACATTGCAGTTTAAAGAGGTGGTTGCTAAACAGTTTAATGCTCAGCCTTCACAGTTGTGTTTAATATTTGCTGGTAAAATTATGAAAGATCAAGATACATTAGCAACTCACAATATTAAAGATGGATTAACTGTACATTTAGTTATCAAAACTAATGCACCTCAAAATAACTCAACATCTGCAGCTCCAAATACAGGATCTGCTCAAACTCCAAGGCCACCTGGTAAAATTTACTAAAATATTTTGTTTTTAAAATTTTTTTTGATTATATTTTACTTCCAGCTGATATTAATGCATCACCATTTAATTTGGGTATGCTTGGTGGCCTACCTGGTATGGAATCCATGGGATTTGGTTCAGCTAACTTTATGGAATTACAACAGCGTATGCAACGTGAATTACTTGATAATCCTGACATGCTCAGAAATTTGGTTGATAGCCCAATGGTGCAACAGATGATGAGCGATCCTGCTCATATGCGACAATTAATTTTGGCAAATCCACAAATGCAACAATTAGTTGAAGTAATTTATAATTAATAATTAATAATTTCATTAATGTATTTCTATAACATTTTTATATTTTTATAGCGACATCCAGAAATCAATCATATGTTAAATAATCCTGAAATGTTACGGCAAACAATGGAAATGGCTAGGAATCCATCAATGTTACAAGAACTTATGCGTACTCAAGACAGAGCTTTATCAAATTTGGAATCAATCCCAGGTGGTTTTAGTGCTTTACAAAGAATGTATAGAGATGTTCAAGAGCCATTTATGAATGCAGCTTCTGAAGAATTTAGTCGAAACACATTTGCGGCTCCAAGTGAAAGTGGTGGAGGTAATACATTATTTTATAGTTTTATAACACATTATTATTATTGTTATTATTTATTTTTAGTTTTTTTTCATTCTAAATTTTATAAAAAAAAATGTACAGAGTTGAAACCATTAATGTTATGAAAAATAAAATGCTGAGTAATGATATTATAAATGATTTATTATTATTTTTAATATTAATTAATAATAGTTGTTTAAAATTAAAACTAAAGAAATAATCAAATATTAACTGATTTTAGTTTCTGTAAGTTAAGATAAATTTCTAAACACATTATAACAACTTAATTTTTTATACAATATGCAACATTAATAATTTGAATTTTGTTAAATTTTATATATTATTTATTTTAGAACAAAACCCTCAACAAGGACAAGAAAATCGTGATCCCTTACCAAATCCTTGGGGTGGATCTACTGGATCTAATCAATCAGATCCTACAATTGGAAGATCTGCCCCAACATCAGGTAATCTACCTAATAGAGGAACTGGATCAGATACTTTATTCAATGGTGATACTATGAATTCTATGATGCAACAAATGATTGAAAATCCACAAGTTATGCAAAGTATAATGAATACTCCATATTTCCAATCGACTCTTCAAGCAATGACTAGTAACCCTAATATGGCAAATAATTTGCTCAGTAACAACCCATTGCTTGCTAATAATCCAGAACTTCAGGTAAGAAACAAAGTGTTTAAAAATTGTTTTAATTATTTATTCTTAATAATTTTGTATATTTAATTTTGTTTAGTCACGATTCCGTAGTATGATGCCAGCATTCCTGCAACAAATGTCAAATCCTGCAGTTCAAGATATGTCTACTAATCCAAATGTCTTGTCTGCTCTTGATCAAATACAAAGAGGCCTTGAAGCACTACGTACAAATATGCCAAATATGGGTGGATCTTTAGGAGGTCAATCTTTTTTTCCGACACCAAATGCAAACACCCCCACTAATGCTGATTCAACTGTACCTAATGATTTGCCATCAACTGAAGGTCAAGATAATAATTTTGCCGAACTTATGAGAAGAATGGTAAGTTAATATTTATCATTCTATAGTATAGGATTTAATATATTATTACCAAGCCTTTGCAAACATATCATTTATATGGGTGTTGAAAAATAAAATTTTTATTGTTGAATTCCAGTTTTACAAATTAATAAACAACTCAGGCTATGGTTAATAATATAAATTGTATGCTGGTTAATTATGATTAATTTCGGTTTTGAAAATAAAAAACTTTTATATTAATATGAGATTTATTATGGAAATTCGATATAGTAATTCAATTTTGTTTTTAAAGTAAACATAATAAAAATAATACCCATAATTGGTTCTTTTTGTATCAAAGTAGCATATAAACATTAAAAAATAAACTGATAAATATATTAATAAATCTACCGTTTGTATATTTAAGATATTTTTTAAACCATAGTTAAGGTGAAGTAGGTTAAGTGCGATTTCTAATATTATGGTGAGAAAAATAAATTTTATCACTTTAAACTTAACTTTAACTTTTAACTTCGATAATAATTTTATTATTATAAAAAAATGTATTATTGGAAACATTTACTTCAAATATGACACATTTGAAATATGTAAAGTTATTTTTTATTTAATATTTTATAACTTTCCTAAAACACATTTATAGTAGTGATGTTTTCTAATAAATATTTTAAATTAAATAATGCATTGTTACTATAATATACTTAAATTAAATAAGTGCTTGATTATACATCTGTATTATTTTAATAACTCCCTCAATGGATAATTATTTTTCATTTAATAAACCTTAAAATATATATATTTATTTTTAGTTATCACAGTTACCAAATAACAGTAGCCCAGTGGCAAATAATCAACCTCCAGAAGAAAGATATAGTTCTCAGCTGGAACAGTTGTCTGCAATGGGATTTGTCAATAGAGAAGCTAACTTACAAGCTTTAATTGCAACATATGGAGATATAAATGCTGCTGTTGAACAGCTACTTAATAGCGGACAGTTGTCAACTTAACATTCCAAAGTTCTAGATAATATAATACATATATTAACTTTTGTAAATCCAAAAAAAAAAAATAGTTTTTGGTTCAGTCCTACGAATTTATGCATTTCAATTTTTAAGTTTTGGTGCCACAATAACCTGATTTGTAGACATTATTTCTTTTCAATCACATTCTTTGTTATTCTTGATTAAATAAATAATTATTTACACTCCTAAACTCTTATTTATATTTTGAATAAATTAATGAAAATCGTTTTAAATTGTTATAAATGATATAAGATATTCAAAAATAACCTTTGTTTATTTAATCAGTCTGAAACTATTATAACTATTATTTACAAGAAATTAAGTAGTACAACATTGTGTTCGCTTTGCTGTCATTTTGTAGAATCCAGAGTGGTGTGAACTTATAGTTTTAAAAATTCAATAAATTATTATTATATAATTTTTATTATGTAAAGATAAATATAAAATATGTACTAAGTATCCAATTGGTTATATAACAAATGGTATGGTTGATTCAGTTTGAGCATTTTTTATTTATATTATAATGTGTATATGTATTTTACAAGAATCTTATAACACTCAGTTGATTTTTAAACAATTATTTACATTAGAAAAAATACATTAGTATTCAATAAAAATATAATGACTTTAAAACTCCAGAGCTTTTCCGGTAATAATTTTAATAATTATTCACTCTAATGGGTTTTTCATATAAATTAAGAAATTGTGTTAACTTTTTTTATGTTTAAACAAATACATAATTTGTTTTGAATAAATCGTAATATAAAATTGTATGATGTATTTGTTATTATAAACATATTATGTTAAGTATGTTTATTGTTAATCTTATAGGTAAAACTAAAATACATTTTACAAGGTCTAGTAATTCGAAATATTTTAACTTAATTTGATAATTCTATATGGTTTTTAAAACAGTAGCTTTTCATATTTTAATCAATACTACTTTTTTCTCCATGACTGTACTGAAGTACAAATTAAATGTATTAAAATTTGCGTTCCAGCTATGAACTCTGTCGCATCACAATAGTGAAGATTTCATAATTTTTAAATCCTAAATGTAACCAGTGGTTAGAAAACCAAGTAGTAGATTGAATATATATACTATCTAGCTTAATTACCTGGCTTTGCACGGAACATTCTTGACCGTGACACAGGTTTTAATGGATTATTACTTTATACTATTTAAAGCCAAGTTTGGTGTAACTGTTGGTGGTTATAAAACAAATAAAACGAAAGTTCAAATGAATTACCATATTTTCTAGTTCCAATATTTTTTAAAATCCCATCTTATGGCATGTATTGAATATTGGAAAGACCACTATATTAAATTTCAAGTTTATATAGTTTTGAGATGTAACAATGATCAATGAATGAGTAATACCTGACGTTGTCCATTGAGAAAATTTTGAGTGTTCAACTCTTTTTGGGTGTTACTGTTGAACCAATGATTTTTTAAGTATAAATCACCCGAAATAACGGTTTAAATATTAATTTGTTATGTATTATAATAAGTAAATATTAAATATAGCTATGTCTATTATGCCTTGCTGTACCATTTACTATATTTAAGCATATACTAATATCTTTACAACAATGTTCAATTTATTTTGGATTATTATTTTTTTATTTATTCATTTAATTGAGAAAAGTCTGACAATTCAAAGTTTTGAATAAATGCTATTTATTATAGTGTATTTGGATTACACAATATTTTTTTGTTTTTCCTTTTGTAGTGTGTACACAAATAAATCAGGTTTTCTGACGCGTGAGCAGGCTACACGCAGTTATCCATGTGAAAAGCATGAATTTTAAAATTCAGTCCACACACTTGTTTTAATTATCCTGGTAATTTTTTAAAGATCATTGCAAAAGCGAGTCGCACTGGAAACTGCAAAAGTTTGAATTCCAGTGGCTTATCTGTTGGAGTCATTGGGATGCGTGGTAATAGTACATGTTCACATTTAAATTTTCCGTTTAAAATTATGGCTTCGATTATGTTGTAATACAGTTTAATACACAACTCTTAATCGGTGATTATTAAAATCAACATATTAAACAAATAAACAAACCTAGGTAGGTAACCAAAAATTGAAAAATGTATGCATCCAGTCCAAAATTGTTTCGACCCTTAAATATGCGATTTTCGAAAAATCCTTTCTTATTACACAGTGAAAGACTTCCAAATTTCAGGTGTGTATGTTGAATAGTTTTTGATATTCAGCGATCAATGAGTAAGTGGTATTTGGATTTTATCTCTATAGATTATTATGAAAGAATATTATTTAAAATTTTCAGATACACGAAATTATTTTTTAAAAACAAAAATACAATGTTCAGTATTAGTTATTAACAAGTAAACTCTTAAATTAGTTTTGTTGAATAGTCAAATAATAATAAAAGTAAAATACTTTTGGTACTTGTATTTACTTTCAATAGGTCAATTACTATAATTACATCACCAAAGGAATAATGTGGGAGATAATATTTTCTATCTGATGTCATCAAGATTTGGAGTGGGTAGTCTCTGAGCCCTTATTTGTTCTCCGTGGTAATGGATGAAGTTACAAAAAGACATACCAGACGAAGTACTATGGCGTATAATGTTTGCTGGTGATATAGTTTTGGTAGGAAAAAATCTAAAAAGAAGTTAATAATAGATTGGATGAGTGGAGGTTAGCCCTTAAAGGAAAGGGATTGAAAATTAGTAGAAATAAAACAGAGTATACAGAGTAATGGTTTTCAATCGGTGTGCCACGATAAATCTATAAATTGTTTTATCATTATGTATTTATGAGTATTATTGATATTCGGTGAAAACTGATCGAACTAATCATAGATATATATATAATATTATTTATTGTTAGTATCCCCGTTGCAGGAGTCGCGCTATCTCCAATACTATTAAATTTAGTACCTATTGGAGAAAATAATTAGAGATATAATGTTAATGGCAGAACAGTACTAGGAAATTCAAACATAAATCTTCTTGCCTATACGGATGACATAACATTATTAGGAAATACCGAAGAAGACGTAAAAGATTATACGAGGAACTCTTGACTATGTCACAAAAAGATGCGCGTGAAGTTGGCCGACTTTGACCGATCGGCTCCAAATTTATGTCATTTTTTTGCAATGAATTTACAACGTTAATAAAAAAATTGCAACACATTTTTTATGGTAACAAAGCGACATTTAGTTCGGGGTGGCAACTTTATGTAGTATCCTGACTTTGTTCGATCGGTTCAAAATTGGCAAACACTGTGCCTGGTCAAAAAGTTTTTATAAAAGATAATTAAATTTAAATTTATATAGATAAAGATAAAAGATAAATACATTTTTTTATCTAGATAAAAAAAAGATAAATACATTGTAAAAAAAGTAATCGGTATACTACCCAAGTCAGTAACTTAGTCAGTGATTACTTAGTACACATGCTACATGCTTAAATTAATATTGAAAGTAGACATTATCATAGGCGTAACTTGGAAATTTATTAGAGGGGAGGGTCAAAAATATAATTGCATATCTAACGAAAAGGGTGTCCGAGACTAAACGCCGCTTTACTACTTACATAGAATATAAAATTATCCATTTTCTAACATTATGTTAGATAAGCGAAAATTTTCAAATTAAGATTAAAAAAAAAAAATTATATAGTAATAGATAGCTATAACCAGATGTTTTGTACTTATTTTAAAACAAGGTATGTTTAATATTAGAGGGGGGCACTGCCCCTCCTAATTTATTCTATGGGACAATTGCCCTCCTCCCAGTTTACGCCTATGGACATTATTATTAATCAATGTAAGTGAATAAAAATATTAGTCAAAGTATAAATTAATAAACATTTTAAAAATAAGTATAAATATCAAGAAAAAATTATTTTACACATATCACAGTAAATTGTAATTGTTGTGAACCTTCATTACAGTTTTAGTATGTATTGTGTAATTATTTAAAAATTTATATTTCAAATTTTAACTATCAAGAAAATAAATCCACAATTAAAAATTGTATTTTATTTTTTTTTTTGCCAACAGACGAATTTATCTAGATAGATGAATTTTTTATTTAAGATAATTATTAAATATCATGCAAATATTTATATAGATAAGATGAAAGATAACTAAATAATTATCTAGGTAATTTATCTAGATAAGTTTCAACACTATAGGCTATAACTCCATAGCAGAGTTGGGCATTATTCGAATAACATTTTATTTAGATGATTATTTAGATAACATTTTATACGAATAAATTATTATTCGATTAATTTTCAAACACAATTATCCGAATAAAAAGTTATTCGAATAATTTTCGGAAAAATTTAAAAATATTGTATAGTAAAAAACAAATATAGATTTATATAAGAAAGTATATATATATATTTTTAATAATAATTAAATAGTATTTGAATACATATTTAGTAATTAGTACTAATACTATACATACTAGGATAGGATAATTATATTTAAAAATTATTCAAATAATATTATGATCACAAATTATTACAATAATATTGTTTCCAAATTATTCGAATACATTTTTATTCGATTAATATTGTTTCTAAATTAGTCGAATAAATTTTTATTCGAATAATATCGTTTCTAAATTAGTCAAATAATTTTTTATTCGAAGAATTGTAAAAAAATCATTCGAATACATATTCGAATAATTATCTAGATAAAATTTTACCCAACTCTGCTCCATAGAATACCTATGTAACTAAAAAAAAAATTAATTATTGTATGTTTAATCTTAATAGATAAAAATATAGAAACTACATAGACACTCTTTTTTTTTTTTATTATGTACATGTAAATTAAATTTTCTATGAAATATTTAAATAATAAAATTTGGTTTTAATTATATTGTTGTAATTTAAAACTTTCAACTTTAAATCAAAAGTGTCATTTCCTAACGTTTCAAACATTATTTGAAATTAAAGTTTCAATACATGAATTCAATACATGTCATGAATTAATGATGATATTTTTTTCTTTGCCACTGTCGTAAAAATATGTTGCAAAGAGTTACAAATTTGTACCAAATAAATGACACCAGTTTGGAGCCGATTGGACTAAGTTGGAGTGCTACGTAGAGTTGGCATCCCGAACTAAATTTTGCTCTGCCACCATAAAAAATGTGTTGCAAATTGTTACAAATCCATGGCAAAAAAATTATACT